AAAAAACGCAAACGCTCGTCGTTTTCAAGTGTTTTGCGTACTGCAAGCACATTTGGTGCCTACCTACCTATCGTATCTATCTATCTATCGATCTATCTATCTTCTATCTATCTATCTATCTAGTCTATCTATCTATCTATCTAGCTATCTATCTATCTATCTATCTATCTATCTATCTAGTCTACTATCTATCTATCTAACCTCTCGCTATTCTATCATCTATCTATCTATCTATCTATCTATCTATCTATCTATCTATCTATCTAGTCTATCTATCTATCATAGCTTCTATCTATCTACCTCTCGCTATCTATCTATCTATCTATCTATCTATCTATCTATCTATCTATCTATCTATCTATCTATCTATCTATCTATCTATCTATCTATCTATCTATCTATCTATCTATCTATCTATCTAGCGGCTTACGACTGTTAGCTCTCCTGGCCGTTCGGATAATGATATCGCTGCCAAACTTGGTATGGCTTATCATGACTTTATGACGAGCAAATATGACTAGTCATAACAAGAAAATAATGACACGTATGTCATGAATGTTACACAAAAACTTTTATCTATCTCTATTGATGAGGCAGCAAACTGAACCATGTGCACCACTGCTCGTCTTTTATTCGGCGTCCATAGTACGTGTAACAAGTTTTAGTATGAGCTCGTTTAGTCAATCTTAGTGGCCTGCAATAAGCGGCCTCCCAGTGAACCCGTCCGCTTTATTTTAACAGCGAACATTTACCCCACAAATACTGACATGCTTACAATGGCGTGCGAAGGACTGATTTTCCTGATGCTCATGTGTCGCTTATGCACTCGAAGTTTTGCTGATCTGAACAAAACTTGTGGTGCTTAGCATCCAAAGCAGCGTAGACTTTTCTTAGCTCGTTACCGGGATGCTTGTACGTGCAGGCAGGATATTTCAACACCACCAGGTCCCGTAAGTTACACTACCAACTCCGGGGCTTTATTCGTAGCGCGATGATGTTCACATAGAGACAGTATATTAAATGTTGACATCCTGTAATAGTGGGAGCTTTCTGTAGAATCAAGACTAGATGATAATACAGCTAGTGGCATAGGAGCATCAAGTTTCGCAACGACAAAAAACCATACAATCAAAACGCAACTTTCTCCAGTTGTTGTTCCGTTGCATGCGCACTATCAACGCGGCTTTCGCGTTGACAACCAGCCCGATTCTAATCCTCCCTGGGAATTCACCACCATCACGTCTAAGAAGACAACAAAGTTATGGCGCAGCAACACATAATCTAGAATCGAGGATACGCTTCAAGCCGTCCATGCGGACTGATACCTGAAAAGTATATACAAGTGCTACTATCTTACAAGACAGCAGCGTAGCCCGGCTAGGTAGGGTATCATTCCTAGTATACGCATAAGTTAGTGTAAACAGTTACTCACTGTAACTGCTAACAGCTGCGAGCGCCAAGAGAATGTTCACAAGGACTATGAATTTCTGCCTAGCGCAATTCTGTAAGAATGCCAACATCAATACAGCCTACTTCGTCAAGGCCTACATTGGATTCAAAGCCACGCTGTGATCCAAACAATATTGTTCCTCACCAGCAGGCTACAATGTCCTACTAAGTATAGACTATCCAGCTATCTTCTCCTCAATCCCTCAACTCACTCCGTGCCCACAAAAATATACTGGGTAGGGTACACGTGCATCTTATCCCACCGTCGCGTTCGGCTCTCTCCACCCCACCTTACTAGGGTGAGAGGGAGTCGTGCTTAGGAAGCTTTGGGCAGGGGTGGCCCTTACTCCGATGGTGATATACCATGAAACTGGTCACATTTATCAGTTTCATGGTGATGCGCGTTCGTATTGTACCTTTCCAGTGATGCAAGCAGATGCATATTACTTTATATGAACATGCTAAGGGTTACAATCGGAGTGCTCCCATCACCTCCTGCAAGATGACCTTCGCTACAGCAACACCAGTTATGACCGCTGGAAGAATGACAACCCATTCCACAGAGATACTTCATTTCATACACAACAACGGCCAAACGGCGCAAATTTAATACACATACACGCAAAAAATATGCCTGAAAGGCAAGTCTTTGTCGCAACAACAAAAAAATCTGATCATTATTGCGAGGCGCTGTTATGTTTCAGTCACGCTAGCTGTCGTCGGCGAGGCGTAATCTGCAAGAACTGCCACCGAAGTGGCGTTCTCACTACTCGGGAGAGGTTGACCCTATCCAAAGACAAACTGGTTGATCCCTCCGTCACATGAATCGGTTAATTTAAAACATGAAAGTTAAAAGGTGTTCTTACAGACTCAGCCAAATGTTTAGAGCTTGCGCGAAGTGTCTAGGTGTTCGACGCTACAGCACCCCTTAAGGGGTCGCCAAATGCTGGCTCCAAAAGGAAAATGCGAAACCACCGGCTTCCACACGCACTAACTAGTTGACTCATCATAAGTAATGCCAACACCTCCTAGAAAACCATGCCTGGAACGTCGCCTCTCGTTTCAATGGGGAGCCTCCAGCCAGCACGCAATCTCGGAGGCCATGCCTCCTGCCTTTGTTGCGACCCGACCACAGCGTGAGAGCGCTCGCTTCCGTACTGCTCTGTCACGTGACATGAAGGCAGCTCGGAGGCAACTGTGAGAACATTGCTGTGTTCGCAGGGGGCGGCCGTCGAAACGTTCGCCTTGGTACCCTGGGAGGAGGGTAAAATCAGAGAGGGTAGGGCTGCGCGTTCGTGTCTTACGTTCCAGTCATAAGTTTTTTAGGAGGCGTTGGCAATGCTTTGCCTATCCAGTAACAGGGAACCTTTTCAGTACTTGCGAGTACGTGCAATCGGGACCCCCGTCAGCGTTCTTTGCCATACGCAATCAGCGTTAACTTGAACTCTCCAGGTGACATCTTTTAAGAAATGTTCTTGTGGGACATGGATCACGTATGGCAGACGCTGATGAGCACCTGTTGCGCGGTGCTCAATATGCCGTAGGGCTCCGCGTTTCTCGATAGGCAAAGCATCTATACTGGTCTACTGGGGCTAATGATATAGGTATGCGCTGTGGCTGCGATGGTGCCGCATTGTCGTTGTGAAGCTACCGTTTTACGACCCCTTTACCGTGGATGCATCCACGTTGACGTTCAGTGATACATCACCATCTTGACGACTAACATCTATTATTAACTAATAAACAAGCCTTTGTGGTCATACACGTTTGTGGTTGTTGTAGTAGTTGACGGTGAGATCAGAATGAGAGAAAACTGTGTGAAAGCCAGAAGAGCGTGAGTTATTCGACGCCAAACTTGGGCTAAGGTCACCCACTCGAGGCGCATTTAAGGTAACACCACTGCCCGCCCTGAGAAAAACGCAACGCTCGTCGTTTTCAAGTGTTTGCGTACTGCAAGCACATTTGGTGCCTACCTACCTATCTATCTATCTATCTATCTATCTATCTATCTATCTATCTATCTATCTATCTATCTATCTATCTATCTATCTATTATCTATCTATCTATCTATCTACTATCTATCTATCTATCTATCTATCTATCTACCTCTCGCTATCTATCTATCTATCTATCTATCTATCTATCTATCTATCTATCTATCTATCTATCTATCTATCTATCTATCTATCTATCTATCTATCATCTATCTATCTATCTACCTCTCGCTATCTATCTATCTATCTATCTATCTATCTATCTATCTATCTACCTCTCGCTATCTATCTATCTACTATCTATCTATCTATCTATTATCTATCTATCTATCTATCTATCTATCTATCTATCTATCTATCTATTATCTATCTATCTATCTATCTATCTATCTAGCGGCTTACGACTGTTAGCTCTCCTGGCCGTTCGGATAATGATATCGCTGCCAAACTTGGTATGGCTTATCATGACTTTATGACGAGCAAATATGACTAGTCATAACAAGAAAATAATGACACGTATGTCATGAATGTTACACAAAAACTTTTATCTATCTCTATTGATGAGGCAGCAAACTGAACCATGTGCACCACTGCTCGTCTTTTATTCGGCGTCCATAGTACGTGTAACAAGTTTTAGTATGAGCTCGTTTAGTCAATCTTAGTGGCCTGCAATAAGCGGCCTCCCAGTGAACCCGTCCGCTTTATTTTAACAGCGAACATTTACCCCACAAATACTGACATGCTTACAATGGCGTGCGAAGGACTGATTTTCCTGATGCTCATGTGTCGCTTATGCACTCGAAGTTTTGCTGATCTGAACAAAACTTGTGGTGCTTAGCATCCAAAGCAGCGTAGACTTTTCTTAGCTCGTTACCGGGATGCTTGTACGTGCAGGCAGGATATTTCAACACCACCAGGTCCCGTAAGTTACACTACCAACTCCGGGGCTTTATTCGTAGCGCGATGATGTTCACATAGAGACAGTATATTAAATGTTGACATCCTGTAATAGTGGGAGCTTTCTGTAGAATCAAGACTAGATGATAATACAGCTAGTGGCATAGGAGCATCAAGTTAGGCAATCGGTAGCAGAAAAACCGAATAGCGTCCTCCTATTTACAGGTCTTTGCAGCGCGTTCTTCATCCTTGCTCTTGTATAGGGGTCTGTACGTAGTTTTTACAATATAGCCTTAAAGCATGTCAAAACTGTTGACGTGCCTTTGTTGCAGCACTGATGCGCGAGCACTGCATTTAGATTCAGCCTTTTCTGAGGGTTATATATTGCATTTTGCTGGCAAATTTTTCTGTTGTGTCTAAATATTGATTTTGCATTCAAGAAAAGCATCTAAGAGTCATGTTCGTAGGTATCGCTACGTGTATTGTACAACACGACCACAGGGCATTTAAAAGTTGCAGCCACATATTTACTGGAGTATTGATTCACTGGTGCTTTTTCGATGTCCGGTCTTTTCTGTGTGGTATCCTTCTTCACCGAAGCTTTCAGTTGTGCCCAAGCTTCGCTTTCATATTCAAAAAAGCGCCTAGAATCCATGTTGAGAAGCAGTGCTTTCAGCAATATTTTATTCCATTTTGCCAGTTACTTCTATGGAAGCTGTGGTCTGTTCTCACATCTACATAATGATACTGATCAACAGAAAGTGCAATGAAGGCACAAAACAAGAAAAAAACAGCAAGTTTTTTAGCTTTATTTTCATGGAGCAACCTGTCGGCTAGCAGCTTTTGTTTTTGGAAAATCCCCTTTTATTTAAAGTCAAAATAAACTGTTTTCACTTTGTACGCGCGTACTGGCGTGCAGTTGTGGCGCAGCTCTCGACAGATACAAGAGACAAAAAGTGTTTCGTCATTTCGGAAGTTGCTCTAAAAGACAAGTCATTTATTGTGAATAGATTTAATGTGTTTATATGAAATGCTACATTATTATTTATCAATTTTTCGCAGTAAACTTTTAAAATTTATGTATTAGGTCGCTCCGGAAGCTACTCATATATTCAGCAGTCACCACATTTTTTTATGAATTACACGCTGAAGTGACACTTTTCGACATTTTTTGCAATTTATTTGTGTCATTTCGCATGATAAAATGATGCACATTTCATTTTTGACGAAGCTTCAATGGGCGTAGAAGATGTGCACGAAATTATTATTGCACCAAGTAGTTTTACAATGACGTGGTGTCAACTTTTCTTAGTTTCAGCTGTGCGATTACAATTTTACAAATTTCACATCGAAGCTTGATGTACGATTGCCGGTGGTATATAATCAAACTGATCACTCTCAGTCTACTTTATATTTGTGTGAAGATGTACACCAATACTGTTCTTTACATTCTGCGAATCTCGCAAGAATGCCCGAACTTGCCTAAGAAGAGCCAGCGACAGTGAAGGGTTCTTATTTTTGTGTGAATCGCATCGGCATCGAGCTAACGAAGAAAAAGCCTCAAGTACTCAAATTATCTCAATAATTTCATACTTTCGGGCACTCAAATTTCTTCATGTTGGTTTCGTGACGCACCAAAGTCAAACACTGCTTTAGGTTAGCCGGCCTGTATAAAGAAAACGTATGTTCACTTCTCCAGAGCAGATATCAAACTCCTCGTGAATTGAATAGCTTTCTTCAAAACATAATACACCTTTCTAGGCAAAAAGACATCAGTGGATGGTAGCACTCGATTTTGCACGCTCTTGTGCAATCGAACGGTACAGCTATACTTGCAGATCCGCCATTACACGATTTTACAAACCACAACCACACGAAAACGTGAGAACTTTGATGTACGGTAAGTAGATATTAGAGCAAAGGACTCACGTAAAACCAAAAAATAAGTGCGCAGGATAATCGTGGCGTGATCTGCGGACTGATTTTGCCATCATGCTCACTTCTAAATCTGAGCGTTGTCAGTGGCCACTCTGCACCAAGTCATTCTGGGTAAAGCCTTTCTGAATTAGACCGTTTTCTATGAACCCGTTCGCTCCCAGCCCATTGCGTATGACGCCATTCTCGAGCATGCTATGCTTTTTCAGAGCATTGTCACTGGGGCGTTTCTTGACAATCTCAACCATTGGTCCGTAGCCGCCTTCTACGGGCAGGCTGTCCAGGACAGCGCGAACTGCAGAGGCATCCGCTGGATCGACCACGTAGTGGACGCGCGGGAATCCAAAGCCGTTGAAGCCGCAAGCGTTGACGAGCGAGTAGGCGCCCATGTTGTCCACGATTATCCACTCGTCCGGCTTTGTGTCGAAGAAGAGCTGCCTGTCGGCTATGCAGTCAAGCGGGCTGCAGGTGGCGCCCCAAAGCGTGCTCAGAAGGTTGCACGGACGATCGTATGGTGGCTGAAAGGAACGCGAAAAACATGTGAGAACAACTGGAGTCTTTCGTGATCAAGTGTAACAAAGTGAGATTGTGTTTTTATTGCGCTTACACGCGGTACTTCTGGCATTGAAAGCTTCTTTCTGCGGTCCTAACAACAGTTTCTCGCGTTTGATTTCGAAAGGGCAGGCCAGTCACTTTCAACGCAATCAATACCCGTTATTATTTCTTCTTTTTTCGTTTTTCGGCTCCCCTCCTACGGTATTTCTGTGGTCAATTCACTTCCCTTATCAGAGAAGCATGAAGGCTCACCTATATACGTTGGCTGAATTCTCTGCTTTAGTTAAAGATTTCTCTCTCTCCCTCCTCCTCTTCCTTCTATTTACATCCATGTCTTTCTCATGCTATATCTAACGACTATATGAGCCTCATACAGACCTCGGTAAATAAATATAGGAGAAATAAGAAGTATATGATGAATGCATTAGCAATACTCACGTCCAAGGGCCGGAACTGTACATCCAAGAAATCGTAAATGCAGTTGGTGATGCAGTTCCTCTTGCTTTCGCTCAGAAAAACTTCTTGATACTCTTGTACTTTTCCTAAAAGTAAGACAAAAAAGAGTTATTCGCCATGAATATTTGTACGAAATGAAGGATATAGTAATGCTACGCAAGCGTTAAGCATACGTAAGTACCACGTTTGTCTTTCGGAAAGATTGTGACTACTACGCGACGGCATTTCCTCATTATTCATGTCATTACGAGCGAGTCATACTGATCAAAGAATCTGACCCTTTCATACTAATGTTGGTTTACCCCAAGTTAAGTGGGGGATCATGGGAACACCCACATGTAATGGGCCACATAGATAGATACATAGATGGACGCTCTAAATGTGTCTACAGTACTGAAAAAAATTGTGTTGTTATGGCGTTTATTAGCCGGCACACAGCGAGTCTACACAATGGCGACAGTAACGGCCAAAACACGGGGTCTCCGCGCGAGCGGCGTTCTCTTTGGGCCGACCCACTAGAAAGCACATAAGAGTTCGACCCACTTCAGTGTTCGGCGGCTTCTGTACAATTACCCCGGGGTCGAAGAGGGAGCCGCCTGGCGACCTAACAGCTTGTCACTACGAGCGGGTCATAGTAAGCCTTCAGACGCTCCACGTTGACTATGTCGCGCCCGCGGCGGCGCATGTCCGAAGATTGTTCAATTGGCTCGATAAGATAGTTGACCGGAGATGTGCGCTCGATCACACGGTAGGGACCTTCATATTTCGGGAGTAGTTTGGAAGAAAGGCCAGCTACAGAGGTCGGGATTGAGAGCCATACAAGGGAACCAGGAAGGAAGGTGGGCTCAGAAGAAGCGGAGCCATCACGAATACTCTTCTGCCGCTCTTGCTCATGCGCCGTAAAAGTCTTGGCAAGCTCGCGACACTCTTCAGCAAGCCTGGCGGTCTCGGAAATAGGTGTACACTCAGATGGATCCGGCGTGTACGAGAGTATCGTGTCGATGGTGTGTGACGGGTGCCTTCCGTACAGCAAAAAGAAAGGTGAAAAACCAGTCGTGCTCTGAGGGGCGGTGTTGTAGGCGTAAGTGACGAAGGGGAGTATGGTATCCCAATTCGTGTGGTTGGCGGCGACGTACATCGACAGCATGTCGCCGAGGGTGCGGTTAAAGCGTTCGGTCAGACCATTCGTCTGCGGGTGGTAAGCAGTAGTTTTGCGATGGACAGAATGACACTCAGTGAGAATGGCATCGACGACTTCTGACAAGAAGACACGGCCTCGATCGCTGAGAAGCTCCTGGGGTGGACCGTGGCGCAATATAAATCGATGTAGTAGGAAGGACGCAACATCACGCGCAGTAGCCGCAGGGAGAGCGGCGGTTTCGGCGTATCGCGTTAAATGATCTACGGCGACGATGACCCAGCGGTTGCCAGTGGACGTCAGAGGAAGTGGTCCGTACAAATAGATACCTATGCGCCCAAACGGACGGTCAGGGCAAGGTATCGATTTGTACGGACCACTTCCTCTGACGTCCACTGGCAACCGCTGGGTCATCGTCGCCGTAGATCATTTAACGCGATACGCCGAAACCGCCGCTCTCCCTGCGGCTACTGCGCGTGATGTTGCGTCCTTCCTACTACATCGATTTATATTGCGCCACGGTCCACCCCAGGAGCTTCTCAGCGATCGAGGCCGTGTCTTCTTGTCAGAAGTCGTCGATGCCATTCTCACTGAGTGCCATTCTGTCCATCGCAAAACTACTGCTTACCACCCGCAGACGAATGGTCTGACCGAACGCTTTAACCGCACCCTCGGCGACATGCTGTCGATGTACGTCGCCGCCAACCACACGAATTGGGATACCATACTGCCCTTCGTCACTTACGCCTACAACACCGCCCCTCAGAGCACGACTGGTTTTTCACCTTTCTTTTTGCTGTACGGAAGGCACCCGTCACACACCATCGACACGATACTCCCGTACACGCCGGATCCATCTGAGTGTACACCTATTTCCGAGACCGCCAGGCTTGCTGAAGAGTGTCGCGAGCTTGCCAAGACTTTTACGGCGCATGAGCAAGAGCGGCAGAAGAGTATTCGTGATGGCTCCGCTTCTTCTGAGCCCACCTTCCTTCCTGGTTCCCTTGTATGGCTCTCAATCCCGACCTCTGTAGCTGGCCTTTCTTCCAAACTACTCCCGAAATATGAAGATTTCTACCGTGTGATCGAGCGCACATCTCCGGTCAACTATCTTATCGAGCCAATTGAACAATCTTCGGACATGCGCCGCCGCGGGCGCGACATAGTCAACGTGGAGCGTCTGAAGGCTTACTATGACCCGCTCGTCGTGACAAGCTGTTAGGTCGCCAGGCGGCTCCCTCTTCGACCCCGGGGTAATTGTACAGAAGCCGCCGAACACTGAAGTGGGTCGAACTCTTATGTGCTTTCTAGTGGGTCGGCTTAAAGAGAAGTGCACTTGGACGCCAGTGGTGTAGGCCTCGGCGCTGTCCTGGCGCAGCGCAAAACACGGGGTCTCCGCGCGAGCGGCGTTCTCTTTGGGCCGACCCACTAGAAAGCACATAAGAGTTCGACCCACTTCAGTGTTCGGCGGCTTCTGTACAGTGTCGCAATTAAAGCGATAAAAGGGGAGCGTACGTATTGTTCCCAAGACGAGTTTTGTTATCTCCGTAGAAAATGTACCATCCTCTGAGCTTCTCTTCGTATCATGCCTCTCTCTGTTTTTTCTCAATGTTTTTTTAGTACATCGTACGTACGCACGGTGGAAACGCATTAATGCATGATTGCGCTGAAAGATAGCGTATTCGAAAAGACAAGTATGTGCGGCACACCTGTCACAATATTTCAGAGAATCACGTGTTTATGATTTATTGGACGCTTGAGTTCTACTGTTCTTCTTTGCCAGAGTATACGTGAAATCCCGATATAGAAGTTGTAGGGTTGTAGAGCCAGCCTCCTGTACTTTCTATTATTAATACTTCTAAGCTTACATGAGCCCAAAGTTTTTCTCTAATAAATAAAACCAGCGCGTTAGAACTGCTTCAATTAGCCTAAAAACACAAACATATAGCTGGCCTCATCAGTTGAACAAAACCATATCGCAACCTTTCGTGCATCGGTCTTCTGCGAAGCTTTTGTTGTTCGGAAATACCACACTAAAAATACCCTAATTGCAGATTGTTAAACCTACCGTCAATAAGAAGGTTCCTCTTCCTTTTTCCAACTACTTTCAGAAGCAGAGTGTACGCTGACGTCACAAAGAACTGACCAGGCTCTGCCAAAATCTTCACGCCACTCGATGGTGGGAACTGATCATCCAGTGCGGAACGGAGGGCTGCACATACCTGCGCGTATACATTCAGTGTCAACGAGTATACGCATGTGCAAGAGAGAGAGGTTGGGTGCCTTCCCCTTCAAGTCACCAGAAAATGGGCAAAGTATGCTCCATGTATACATGAACATGCTAGAAAGGGGGGTAGCAGCGACTCGGAGGAGGGTGCAGTCAGCTTCATGCATTTACATAATGTGGAGGCGGGGCGCTGCGATGAATCTGCCCCCCCCCCCCCTTCCCCCGCTGAAGGGAGCCTTGCTCACGGCCCTCTAAGCAGGTTTAAATATATATGAAATATCTTCCCAAAGTATTGTGTGACTTCAACAAATAAACTGGCCTAACCTTTTGATAGTTACAAATCTTCACACAGGGATTGCAAGATGTTCCTCGGAAGTAACACAACAATATGTCATCACATTTTTTGGTGGTTAACGTGATGTGCGTTCATTGCCATCACAAAATTATTCGGCTGAATTGGTTTAGAGATCGACTTTAGGTCCGTTCGATTCGCCGGCCCCACGTGAACCAGTTCACGGGGTGCTGCACTTTGCCATTCGTTTCAGCGGTGCGGCATGGACGACCTCTGAACCCTGCCATTCATTTCAAAAGGCGCAGAAGAGGTGCAGCATAGGTTCACGATTTTCATGCACCTCCTACGCTGATGGTGCCGGCTTGGTGCAGCCGCGCGTGCAGCTGAGCAGATGACGCAACACTTAGGCGTAGGCGCCGTACCCGCCTCTACTAACGCGGTGTGTTTCGCCAAGATGTTTGTGCATCATAAACTGTCCACATGTGCGAATGGCCGTGGTTCAGTGTTAGCTGAACGCTGTAAATTAAGCAAACAGAAATAAGGCCTGCACCTCGTTGGCACATCGTCATTCGTTTCGGCGGTCGCACTGTGCCTGCACTGCTGAACTCGCGCTGCACAATTTCTGATCTTCGCGTGCACAACCATGAACCGGTTATAATTGGTGCAGGCGAATCGAACAGACCTTTTGTGAACAACCATGCACACATTTATCATCGTAAAGCACTCTGGTTGATTAGTGATTGATGTAAGGCACAATAAGGCACCATGATTTCTTTTTCATTGCAAAATATATTGAAAAAGCAGCGAGCTGCAGTCACCTTGAGGAATTTCTCCTTGTTTCGTACACCTCCAGGAAAACCACCGCCTATGTCGAGTACGCTCATTTCAAAGCCCATTGCAGTTGCCAAGTCGAATATCTTTCTGGCTTGTTCAATCGTTCTCACAAAGATGCTCGGGTCTGTATAGGCACAGCCCACGTGAAATCTGAAAAGATCATATGATGAAATCAGTGAATGTGAATAACGTCATTTGGTAATTCCCACAAGTTTCTTCTTATTGGAAAAAAATTTTCTCGCGTCTTTTAAAACGTTGCTCATTTTTTAATGAATGATACGGCATGGCCACATCAGTTTTGTAAAGATTAGGTTGTTTAGCTTCAACAACGAGCACTTTCTATTCAAAGATGTGAACATGAATGTAGGTCAATTTGGGAATATGAATATAAGCCATGTAACAATAGAGTGCCTGAGTTATTCATGTTCACCGGATTTCGGAGTAAATTCTGTACAGTTTCTATTCTGACCAGCAATTTCCAGCTAACCCAATAAAAGTGCCTAAAAACGCCACTGCATGTAGCATTTTGCACCCATCGGAATGTGAATACCAACGTCTGGTACAATGCTCGGGATCCCCCTGCAACCACAGGTTACCGGTGTGGCTGATAAATTTTCGCATTGATCTCAACAACATGCTACATGATTTGAGGTAGCGCTTCAATGGGAGCGTTTTGTCTTTGGCTAAAAAAAAAAAAAACTGGTGACAGAAATTTTAAGAAGACAACTTGTAACCATGCTTTCAACAACGAAAGGTAGGCAGCTGTCTGGAGAGTATACCTGAGGGATACCACGATGCTCAATCAGATAATTAACGTAACCTTTTGTTAAACTAAAATAACAATCATGAGGGTGTGCTGGAATAGGTTCATCACAGCAAAATCTTAACCAGAACTGGGTTGAGGACACACAGGGCACTTATGCTGCAGATTTCCAAACAGTAACCATGTTTTACGCTGTTCTCAGTATAATCACTTCAAAAATAAATACCTTAGTGTGCTAATGTGTCGAAGTTTTCACACAATACTTTTGCTAGCGGATCACCCACGCACGTCACGTTAGTACTAAACCGTACTTACGCAATGCCAACCACTCTGCGGCCGAGGGTTCGCGCTTTCTCCAGTAGTTTTGGAGCATCGCTGATCAAGCATCCGAATTTCTTGTTGAGCGTGTAGTGACATCCCTCTTCATCGCCGATTATGCGGAGCAAGAGCCTATGCAAAAAGAATATTGTATAAAAAACACAAACGCAGTTCCTGTGATTATATACACGAACAGCAAGACCCTATGTTTCAGTAATTCAAAGCCTTGTCCTAGCTTTCAAATATTTCCTCTTCGTTTGCACCGAGATTGAGCCATGCATACACAAAAACATGGAAGACCACAATGGATTATGTCTCTTTAAATCATATTGTGGTTTTACGACGTTTAACTTCAACGTTTATTAGGACCACGAAGTATGATCTTTCTTATTTTTATTTTTTACCATTAAACCGAAAATGTTTTCCGTTAGCCAATATGTATCCCCAAGTTGTCATATACTCCTATCAGTGATTCATCACCTATGCTAAGACTGTGATGTACTTAAGAATTAGCCCTTGTTACCAACATAGCCACATTGTATCACCTTGAAAGTTTCTCTCAACACACTGGCGCCTAACGCAGGTAATCGTAAAAATTTGTGTACTTGAACAGATGTCAGAACCCAAAATTGATATCCAAGCATAACGAGGCTAGAAGTTTTTGAAATGGCGAGAACATGTACATTGTGCGCGCCACGCACATCCCACTTCTGACACATACACTAAGAGCAAAAAGTGCATTGTGTATGTTGCTGGCCTAGGGAGCATTCTTGATATAGCAAATTAAAATAAAAATATTGGCTTTTGGTGGAGAATATGAAAAATTTGAGTGGTAATGAAAATTTGAAAACAGTCTATTGAAGTGATTACTCTGGTCTGCTCAAAAAATGTTTTTCTCTTGTGTCACAGTGTCTTCGTAGTCGCGTCTCCTCAGTTTGTAAAACAATTGTGTAACTTCATACGTTTAAAATATATCATCCAAGGCATGCTTATGTTGACTAATGAATTACCGATGACAGTATTTCTATTTGCTACTCATTTTTGGATATCTAAGCTTTTTGAGGCCTAGATTACCCTAAAGTGAGAATGTTTGAAAGGGCAAGATTTTGATGTGCAGTGAAATGTTTATGGTGATTTAAGCAGATCATAAACGTATGACACTCAGAAAGCTCTATTTCTTTAACAATACAACGCTAACACAACTGCACCAAAGTATGGTAAAGACATTCATTCTTGATCACACGCTTCATTCGTTTGAGATTGCAGAGCTTGTGTTTCGTTCCGTAATGCTCCACAACGTAGTAACACTTGAACTTCTGTTTGCTGTAATTTATAGGTGGTAATTGTATTTCTGCTTTTATAATAATTCATTAGTCATAATGGAGCATACGATTTTTTGATAGTTCACGGTGTCTGGAAAATTTTCCATTCTTACGCAGTAAAGAAATATTTATTTAAATAAAACGTGTGCATGTTGAAGTTGTCTTCTACATTTTTCCATCTGTTAAAAGTTATCTTATCAATTCGGCACCTTGCGTCTTTATGGTGAATTTTATCCAGTTCTTCGGCTGAGTCGAAAGTCATAAGGTCCACGCCATGCTTTAAAGAGTAGTCCAGGTGTGAGCAGTTTTTCACTGTCTGGGCGTAGAGAATGCGGTCAGGTGTTGTTCCAAGATTGAGCATGGTTGCGATCTCCCGCTGAAAGAAATATTACCAGTACAAAAGAAGGTTAATTTCAGAGAAAGTGCTTGGAAGCAGTTTGTGACTGCTCCAACAAGCGCTTCAATGGAACACATAAAATGATTATGGCGATCAGATGTGAAATGAATGTTTCAATTTGATGCGAAAAGAGAAACACGCCGACGTCTAGGTACGACCGTTACTTCAACCTCTTGAGCATGCGCGCCTCTGATCAAGTTAGTATGAGTACATGGTTCCAGGCAGCCAAACGCATCTCAAACAATTTGAATAATATTTTGACGCATCGACGTGGATGTAACATTATCTGAAGCGATATAGACGATTTCATTTGTTAGCTTGTTTAATCTATGCAGTTCTATAGAGCCTTACAGGGGCATTCACCATAAATTTCAACAATAAGCGCGAACTACTTGACAGCAGCTCATTGATCAGTTTTTTGCTATTTTGCGTTGTTTTAAGCATATGCGTTTTAGCTAAAAAAATCGGGACGGTATCTATCGCAATGTCAGCTATACCTTTACATTGAAACTACGAGGAATCATTTGTGGCTACTAAATAGGACATTGCTAAACGTACGTATATATTTACGATGCTCAGCCGCCAACCCAAAATTGGCGGGTTCCACCTAGTAGTGGTTGTTGCGGACAACATGCTAGAGTACCACGCTTACTACGTCACGTAAACGCACACATAAGCAACATATACTCAAAACTTCTGCAGATATGGACTATGGAGCCCACACCTTCGCGTTGTTCTTTTTTCTCACGTCAGAACCGTGAGTATTGATAAACGCACGTCTAAGCAAATCCTGCCTTACATTTCAATACACATAGAAGTACGAGCCTAGTTCTAGTTCTATGCATTTGATTATACTGTCACGATTATTATCGCTTCGATATATATTCATTCTATTCGCCCTATTTTCGTACGCTCAGTTGAGTCGTAATGATACGTAAGGAGCCGTAAACGCATAACAATAGTTGGTAACAGGTGCAAAGGGAAATCTTGTCATTTGGGATCATCACGTAGATTCTTAAAAGGGCCTCAGCATTTTGTGAAGGTGGATAGATCAGCTGTATTTCATTTGAAGCGAATATATATTTCTGAATGAGTACATGGTGATAAGTTGCCTTTTATTTAAATATGATACTAATAAATTTGACTTACAATGACATTTACTTACAATAGTACATGCAAGCACCTCTAGAATCGCGCAACCATTTCCTAAACTTTCTCTACCTTCTTCATTTCAACTAATCTTCGACACTAATTGAAACTCCTGCGCCAACACAGTATTGACATAATTGTAATAACTATTAATCATTTAGGCGAGAACTCACCCTATTAGAACAATCGAAGTTGACGTCCTTGTCCTTCAAAAGTTTAAGTGCAACAGGATCTGTGCAAGCCTTGATGGCTGCAATACAGATATGAACAAAATAATCAGCAGTTATCGACAGTACTGGCTTCATATATACACGCACTTCGATGAATTGCCAAAAAGTACATAAAGCCTCACCAAACGAGAAAAACAAATGACCACTTCGGGAAAGTGAACTGGTGCGCACCGGTGTGTACCAACCGTTTTCGGTAACCAGGGTGCATCCTGTCGGGGCACTTTTTTTTTTTTTTTGCTCCAAGGTGCTCCGAAAAAATTGTCAAAGCGATGCTGTGCAGTCCCAGCATTCGTTGCGTGCCGCGCGTGTAGCAGACGGTCAGCAGACGAAGCGCAACGACTGGTATTCCATTTGCCCCTCCAAAGAACCGGAGCATTCCGCCCCTTTTTGGTTTTGGGAAATTCTGGACTGCTTCGCAACTGCTCCGGGGCACAATTGCCGAAGATGCTAAACGATACACGGGTGATGCATTAAGCTCGGCGCTTGTCTCGGCCGCATAAACAAACTCTCTCCCCCTACCCTGTGCTATCTGAATTAACCAACAGTATGGAAAACTGAATCGCTGCCATAGTTGATGGAGGGACGTTCTGGAGATTCTTCAAAGTAGTTGATAGGGGGAACCTACCTGAACCGCAACGTGGTCATAATTATGAAACGATAACAGGGTGACCTGCGTTTCAGTATTACGTACTGCTACACAAAGGTCTCACTTGATCCCATTTTTCTACACGCGAGCATCACTGCTATAGCACAGTGACGGCTTTAGCGCCAGCCTTCAATCAGCTTCATTGTTCGTGGAGCTTAGGTACGCTTTGGTATCGGCATTTGCACTAAATTATGTGCAATAAATTCTGTTGAATACCCTTCTATCATTGAAATTAGGTACATCACTGAAAACTAACAATGTCGTTACTTTAAAACAGCTACGTCAACGGCGCAGTGCTGTACTTGAGAGTGTTCGTTAAACTCTACAGTGTTTTCAAGCTGCAGATGTTAAGTGTTTTATGATTTATTAGCCATTACGGCATATAAGAAGCAACAGAAATTTTCAGGTTTTCTCTTCACCTTTCACTTGACTTTCATGCAGACATCGCACAAGTTGGATAGAAGGAGTGACAAGTTATTCATCATTAGGACAAAGTAGTTGTGGGAGAAGCGTATTTATTCATGTAAATAAACTGAAAATGCACAATAAAATAAACTTATGAAGGCAGTACCGCATAATCTATCCATATTTTCTTCAACTTTTTTTTGCCTTGGCTGGTATCATTTCATACTGGCTCAAATTATTATTGGAGAATCATCAAGTTTTCTGTTCCTCTTCGAATGCTCAACAGCAATGGCTCAATAAAATATATTGCAAAATGAAATAAATTCACAATGAGTTATAGAGTAATCTCTACACTGGCGAGTACTTGTCTTATTGTCAAATATTTGTTTCATCTTTACACAGCAGGTCGTCTACAGATGAGCTCTCCTTCGTCATTAAACATCTCTATGTCCCAGAGTATGCTCCATTTCTCATAAAAAATGTCGATCTTGCTCCGTCGTTCAACTTGTGTCATGAATGTTTATACATTTTTTTCGCTATTCATGGCAGGTGCCAAACATCGCACTTACCATAGAACGGGGTCACTCTGGGCAGCTCGTGCTTCCACAGTTCAACTTTGCTGAGCAGATCACGAACATCGCAAATGAAGAAGGCGTCATCGTATTCCTGTGAATTTAATCGTTCAAAGTCTATAACAGCATATTCTGTCACCAAAACCTTTAATGACACCTAATTCTCAGCATAAAATCTGCATTGTTCGTAGTTTCTTATCGGAAGGAAAAACCGAATCTATGATGCAAATTTGGAACAATTCTATGCAAATCCTCTTGACTACCTGTATGTTGCGTCATCTTTTTATGTTTACATATTTGTTATGATTGCAATAACTGTAAAAGCGTGCTAAACACGCTGTTAAATAGAGGATAATGAGCGCAACTTGTGGTTATCATGTGTTTTATGCTATTTAGAGGTTGTAGCTGTAAGTAATTTAGTCATAATTCGTGGAGAAATTTTCACCTTTAGGGTTTGAGTTTGGTGCGCCAAAAATTCCTGCAATAGGTTAACTAATGCAAACAACGTAATCGTGCGTTGAATAGTTGTAGATATAAGAAGGTTATCCAGAATAATAGTTCTTGAGTGATCCTCCATGCCATAGAACAAGTAAGATAATTTCAGCATGCTGTTCGTACAACATATTTCGAAAACACGAAGGTTAGTATATCAAGACGAAAGCCCATGACAGACTGCGCAGTGCCGTGTTTCTTATACTAAATACATTGTTTTTCAGAAATTCATCTGTGTTTTCCTACGCTAGCTAAATACCCTATATTTTCACAATACTATAGTATTTTAATAGAGTACAATATACACAATGTTTTAATGTGAGTTTATATAAACTTCTATGAAACGGCGTGGTGTAGGCTGGATCACAAAAAAAGAAGAATTTTCGTAATGAAAGCACAGGATACATTTTTTGCCAATAAACAATATTGATATCACTTTTTATTTTCTTTATATTAGGATTTAACGCAGAAGTTTTTATCGGCACGCGTGACCATGAGAGAAAAACTGTCCTTAGTTGGTACATGCAATGTAAAGAAGCTTTCCTGTATACGCCACAAGGAAGACCGCTGCTTTTACATTCAGTGCAGTGTAGCCAACGTTTTTATTGGCGTATTACCATCGAAACCTGCTTGATGATGGCTTTGCGGGCACTCTTTGATTTACGTTATGTACCAAAATTCATTGCTGCGCAGTGATCATGAAGGAAACGCAGCCCCGAGATGGTGCAGTAAATGTGAAACTTCTCATTATGCCACATTTTAACACCCTGTAAACTCAATGTCAATGCCAGAAATGTTATTATGAGCGTATTACAATCCACACCTGGCTGCTGGGGATTTTTCAGGCTGGCTTTCATTGACGCTTAATGTATCAGTTTTCATCAGTGCGCGTGATTATGAAGAAAACACTTCCCGCTGGTTGTACTGTACATATAAGGCTTCTCATTATTCCACATGCGATACACGCTGTAAACTGAGTGGCAGTGCAGGAAACGTTAATAGAGGCGTATTACGATCCACACCTGCGTGCTGATGACTTTGCGGGCTATGTCGACCACACTTCCGTCAGTGTAGATTGCCGATGTGTTTCCTGTTGTCTTCTCCATCTCGTGCACCTGTCGCAGGAATGATTACTTTGAATTCCAGCTGCTCGATCCTAAGCGCAGTCACTACAACCATAAAGTATTGCGCATAAAGTTTATATGTAACCAATATAGAGCGCTTTCTCGAAAATGCGATCAACCCCATTAGACACCCGCTGTCACCACTTGCACTTACAGCTTACGCGAGTTCACATCACGTATACCAGCCCGGAAAAGAAAACACAAGCGTGACTTAGGGCTATTTTACCCCTCATGTGCATCTATTGAGTGCTTCCGTTTGCAAATGATTAAAATATAAAACTTGTATATGGGATAGGAATTCAAAAACATTTGTTCACTGTATCCACCAATTTTAAATCTTCGCCTCGCAGAGAATCTTCAGAATTTTCGACAAACGTGACTACCAACAACACTTTAATTGCCTCTAGTCATCGCGATCACATAAGGCTCAACTTGATAGAGGTTTCTGGTAGCGGCCTTCAATATAGGATGGTAGTGTATGTCGCCGTGAAAGGATGCTGTGAGTAATACGTAATCGTGTTGAATGACATCTTGTCTCGTATACCCCGAACATTCGGTAAACCAAAAAATCTCAACAAAATGGTGGTTAAATATTGCTAAGTATCAGAGAAGAATTGTATATTGAAACTAAAAATCTCGCTGTATTTGTGCAAAAATTCTTCCCCGGTACAAACATCCATTCTCATAATCTTATATAACGCCACACAAAACATTTTGCGGGCATTCAGCTGCATCTGCAGATTACAACAATCAGTTATAATAAAAATTTATATAGGCAGGTCGGTGACGTATAAGCAACTTTGTGATAAGTGCAAAGAAATATATTAGCTGAATGACAATATCTATTACACGTAAACGTTCGTCCTATATGTCTGGTGACGTTGTCGTCACTGTACCACCATTCAATTTCACGTTTTTTTCTTGTGAAATTTTTTAGTATACTGCCATTCAATCTTGCTAATGGTCACGTCACCGTGTTTCCAAATTTTGATCTTTAAGCACATGCAGTTCTAAAAAAAATTGTCAGTTAGAGTAACACTAACCCTAAGTTGTAGCGGTGTTGATGGTAGCAACGTAAGAATGCCCATTCGTAGAAAAGCGAGTGTGACGACTTGCAGATATCATAAATTGACTATTATAAAACAGCTGGAAAGTATTATTTCGAACTTGTCGTTACAATTTAACCTATATACATTTAAGGTTTCTTGAGCTTTGTGGAGGACTCAATGACTAGAACGTGTGATACGAATTATTCTGTAGCTATCATGCAACTGCAGCGGGACGAAGCCCCAAAAATAAACGACGACCACCTAATGGAAACGTGGGAGGCCTAAGCTCGTCCTCGAGGACCTGGAAGACGAGTGACAACTCGTCGCCAGGGCAAAGAGGGCAGTCGAAGCTAGTGGGTTCCTGGACTAGGGAACCCTCCCACCTTAGGGTGACACCGGGCCTCACTCGGAATACTGTTTTCTAAACAAACGATTGTTTCTCTCTTTCAATATGTTAACAAGCTTATGCTGCATGAAATAATGACGGGTGCTCACGAAAAATTTCAGGATGAAGAATACTCGAAAAAGAAGAGTACACCTCCTCCCCCCCCCCTCCTTTCCATGCAAGCCCCTATTCAGGCATTTATCGCTCGCCGAAGCACGATCGGCGTTCTTTTTTTTTTTTTTGCCTCAGGAGGCATCTTCGACGACTGCCTTCCCGCGTTTTCAGTTGCACATAAAAAGCACAACGTGAAAAGTCATGTTGCTGACTTGAACTCTAAATGCGACATCACGACGACTGCGAGATTTATGTTGATGGCAGCAATACACCATATAATTGCTACGGCAACAAATACAGAGCCTTTTCAGCTCGGCAAGAATAGTTGACGCGTGTCATTGAGTGATGGACAGTCTCGCGTGGTTTTAGTGAACTTGAACGAGAAGTACTTCTTATTACAGTATGACATGTTATCGTTATGAAGAAAACAAAAGACGAGGACATCGACAGCCAGCACAAAGTTGCTAGCCGACCACGTGTGTCTGTACTTCAATCATTTCTTTGAAAGTTACAAAAAGAATGCCCTCCATATCAGTCGCTATTCGTATTACATTTGAATGGCGCGTCTTTCTTTCTCGGTGAATCTGTCACGGTGCTTCTGTCAAAATGTCATTTATGTCGAACCTGTCTAAACACATGTGGAATGCAATGCCAAGCTCTTCGTATCGTTCGCTGATTATGTTGCGAGCCACATGGTGTTGTTAGCCGTAGCTTTGTTACATTTCGCACTGGCTTAGCGACAGCCGACTCTTGCACTCAAATAACTTACGGGTGGAAGACATTGAGAGACTTTGTGTGATATTAGTCGTTGTTTCAAGACGCTCGAAAGTAAAATAAATTTCCGAAATTCTACGCAAAGCAGTGTAGCCGGAAGCTGAAAGCAGTTTATTGGAAGCTGATATCAGCGTTAAACGTTGCGCAAATATTCGCATTCTTTTGACATTCATATACTCGCTACTGCATGAAAAATACGATGACCCTGCTCGTTATGCAGCAATGGAGCAGCTTCAGCACGTTGAAGGATTGAAAACCACCTGTGTAACTTCTGTCACCTAATTTTCTGTCTGATAACATCTTGGAACTATTACCAAGGATGGCTGGTATGACTGAGGGAAATAATTTGGGCAGGATCAGCACAGAAGAGAGCGCGTGCAGCTAAGCGCAAGCACTGGTTTCAAATGCGCAGTACGGCGACAATCACGCACGAACTAAGCACATACCAATCAGTCTCTTTATGGTAAAATGGTGAGAGTATCCATGATAGGAAATTACCATGGCTTCTCCAGTAATAAGGAAACGACAAATTGGTTGGCAGTAATATCTGTACCAGTTTTACATTGTCACCAGCAGACTTGACGAATGCACTCTGGTCTTTTACACCATTGACGTTCTTCATCAGAGCACTCTCGCCGGGCTTTATTACAATCATAGCCATTTGCATGGTAGGAGAATGAAAGGGGGCAAGACTCTGCTAGACCCGGTTGTCGAGCTAGTAGGGGGAGGGAAAAGTATGCCCAATGCTGAAATTGGACTTTATAATAGAGTATGATTCAACAAACCTTCACCACCCTCCGGAAATATAACTCAACAAATGCCCACGATTACAATAGCGGTTGACCCATACCGTAGCATGAAACTACATGACGAGACTCTTACGAAATGCGTACCGCTCCGCGGAAGCCTCCTGCACCTCACGTAGTGTTGTACGGTTTACGAGATCGGCCCACCCGTGATCGACTGAATGCGTTGAGGTCACAATGACCTGATCAACTATTCACAAATTTTGGTATCTGTGAGGTAACACATGGCGTCATTGGTTCCTAGAGGTCACAATACTTCTTTATGTACATAAAAGAATGTGGTCGGACGACGCGCTATCAACGAGGTGTACAACTTACAATTCTTCGTTGAAGGGAGGTAAAAGTTTGATGGGTGAGACTACCATGCACTTCTCGAAGTTCCGAATGACTATGTTATATTAGTGTAGTTAGAATGTAAGCGGGTAACGGAGAAAACGCAATGGTCATCCTTTAAATTACGACACCTGCTTTTTGTTACTGTATTGAGCAAGAGTGTCCTATGATGAAGAACTCCCGTGGCATCTCCAGTAATAGAAAAAAATGTCGACGCATAGGAGTCAAGTCATTGTTCTTACGTGGGAAATGAAGCCCGCTGGAGTATATATTGGGGTTTTACCAGTAGTCCGCACGAACATCTTCGACTACATAGGCAATGATTCTCTGTAATTGGTATTAGCAGGAAACACAACCATCGGTCCTGACTGGGAGGCAGATCAACAGCACCACTTATTCACACACTACACAAGCATTATGTTTGCTGCCTCAGTATTTCTATAAGTTTTACTAAAAGGAGATATCTATTCAAGCATTTTTCTTGTCATGATTGTACTCATGTGGCACTAGTATAAAACAAGAGCAACCATACGGCAAAAGCAGACGTGTCATGGTGTAACGCAAGCGCTGTATCTGGACATCAGCTAAACGTACAAACAGTTGAAGAAAAAGTAAATACATGGAATTCGAATATAGTTAACTCACTACTGGTAGCATACAAAAACCAGGCAAGACGGTGGTCCGTCCACACCGATGGCACTCACGGATAAGCCTTGAGCTGGCGAATCGAAGTCAGTGGCGTGCTTCCATGCAGACTGTTGGCGCTCAGTGTGGAAAGCTGACGTCGACTGCCTCGCTCCTCTCGGAAGTACGTTACTCGACGTTTGTATATCGTGCAGGAAGCGTTATGCCAAAGCGTAAAATTTGTTCAGTTATACAAGCTCATCGATCTGCCAGTATTCGCCTCTACAGTCCTTTCGAATGCCCGTGTGACGGGTCTACGTTTGGACTCGGTGATATGCCGTGCTTTTTTTTATACTTACTGAGGACCGCCCTCATGGATTAAATTTCCCCGTATAAAAACAAAGCAACAGTAACAGACGCGGATGCGTTCCCACGCAATTCGAACGGATCGTTTCAGTGGTTTGGAACTTTTCCTATCACTCGCCACTTCTAGAGATCAGCTCGACGATAGTCAAAACAAACACTACGAGCGCCGGAGCTGCATGGAACAGATCAGCTTTCGTGGCGTTTACACAAACAGAAAGTGAGAACGGGTGCGCCAGGCTTTCGCCTTCAGGAGAGATAAAAAAAAAGTGGTAGAAAAGTTTTTAGACTCGCCTTTCCCGTGCCACCAACCAGCCATACGCTGGGTGTCTCTCCAAGCGACCTGAAACTTTCTGCAGCCGAGCAGCTGGCCGTAACCAGCCTGTGGCATTTTGCGAGTAGCTGCCTTGTGGCCTCCGTTATCGGGCTGCTATGGCAGTTGCGCGTTCTCGAATATGCAGCGCTTGTGGCATTTTAGCTCGGTGCACAGTACAAAAGAAAATAAAAAGGTGCGCATTTGTCACAAAATGCTTTTCATAGCCC